GTACTAATTTCCATTTTAAGGAAACTTAGTACAAAGATGCTCTAGAACAATGTACAAACCTAATTAGTTTGGGGTAAAATTCTGTTCATATTATTTCCCTAATTAGCATAATAATTCATAATTTGTTGGTTCTAATCACATTTCAATTAAACTTGGTACATAGAGTTTTTGTTACATTGCGCAGACCTCATTAGTTTTACAATCAAATCTGTTCATGTTAATTTTCTGATTTGCATAATTAGTTTTCAGCTAAGTAATTTCAAATTATATTTAATGTGTCTCCAATACTCTCAGCACATGGGAGTTCTTTCTAAGCTTTCTTTGATCATTGGTTAATTATCGATTTTACCTGTCAGGTCAAAGAACACTGTCTCAGGTCAAACATGGCGGATATTCATTTCTACAGCATCGAACGCTGAAAATGCGATCGGAATCATTCGCTTACGATGAAATAATTTGAAATTTATTTCCATTTCATAACAATACAGCGAATTTATTTTTTGCACGTTATTATAATCATTACTAAGTAATAATCAACAATTGTAAAACGCAGCATGACTGGATTGCACTACCGCGATCATTTGCTACTAAGCAATGCAGTTGGGTTCGTTTTTATTTGAAACTTCTTTTAGAATATACTTTCGTTACTAATAAAATGAAACAAAATAATTGTATTTGGCGCACGAGGTTCGTTAATGTTATTTTTTTGGAGAAAATTGCGCTGTCTACTTTTTAATACAGCAAGTTTCTTTCGTTTTGGGTGGTCCAACTTCCAGCGTTGAAAATTGGCGTAGGTGGATTTTACAATGAAAATATGAGTCCCCCTAAAAATATTTTATGATAATTTTTTGAAAATTTGAACCCCAAATAAGGGCCCACCAGCCGTGAAACCGCCCAGGGCGATTTTTCGGATGGGCGAATTTACAGCAGAATCCGGTAATTACGATCTCAAATTGGCTATGATTTTGATATTGTTTTCTACCTCATCACAAGTGTAAAGTTAGATTGAGAAGGATAAGAATAAGGCAACTCTGATGACATATTGCACTGTGAATCAGACTTATTTTGAGAAATATGTGCATATCGCTAGAAAAACTAAATTCTAAAATTGCTTAGGGTTCAATGTCAAAGGTTGTATTTTCTAACGCCACTTTCGTATTTCTAACATATCCTAAACTTACTTTCTTAATTGACTTTCTGGCAACATCCACCATTTCTGATTCTCAATCAAACATACGACAGTCTGTGATGGTTTTGTTCAGAATAATTTTGATTGATGCTCATGTAGAATTTTTAAAAAGTATGATTTCAATGAAATCATCATTGCATATACATGTAACCCTGGTAATCAAAGTTATTTATGATATTTTTAGTTCTATTTGTATATCACATTTGCTCAATGAGAAGTGCATCTCCAATAGGAGTGCATATAAACCAAAAATTTCACAGGCTATATACTAAATCAGTGAAATATAAATTATTTTGTTCATAATTTGTTTTTGTAATTCACATATAAGCGTATGTTCTACTAATATGGTACTTTGTATTTACTAATGCAGCTATACTGACACTCCTGCAGTGACTCTTACAAATACACCCACTGTATAGGATTTCCCACCTATGAGTTGACCAATCCGATCAGTACATGACACCCTGTTAAAAGGTTTGCAGCAGATATTTTACAGAATAATTGCCATTGATTTCAGGAAGGTGAAGAATCAGTTGGTAAACTCATAAAGCAAGCTGAACTTGTGTTTTCGAGAGGTGACGTAGTAGCGGCCGATGATCTGATGCAGATTGTTATACCACAGCACTAAATGAATTAAAGGAAGACAGATGCATCATGGGTGGAATAATCATGTCTGATAGATATGTTCTTAGATGAGAGCTGGAATTATATCTTGAAAATTCACAAGCTAATGCATTGTGGGAATGTAAGTAACATGAACTGAGGCATGGTATATCATGGGAGTGTGCAAGTGTCACTACTGCTCAATGTTTTTATCAAGTGAAACCTGTAATTGCTTCTCTCTATTTAGAGTATATGCCCATATTTGGTGTGTCACATCATAAGTCATGTTTAGGGAGCTGGAGAGAAAAATAAAACATGATTGTTAGTGTGATGCTTGTGTTAAAGTGAACCAATAATATTATGCAACTGTAATACACATATGCAGTTGCCAGACTATTCGTGTCATGGATGTGTGAATATACAACCTTGTAGTCATACTACAGAGGGCAGTATACAACCTTGTAGTCATACTACAGAGGGCAGTATACAACCTTGTAGTCATACTACAGAGGGCAGTATACAACCTTGTAGTCATATTACAGAGGGCAGTATATAACCTTGTAGTCATACTACAGAGGGCAGTATACAGTAACAGGTGTTTCAAAATGACACAATGCGTGATTAACCAATCAAGTCTTCCAGTTCCAGTTTTGCAGGGAACAAGCTTACTAGAATATGGTATATAGGATGCTGTGATCTTATGTTTAGATCAGCAAGTCATCAAAATACTACAATTTATCATAATTCCAATGGCTCTGAATGGTTGTTCAAACATCTTGAAGTATTGCATATTTTATATCTGCCATATTGTGTTCAGTCTGAATGATCAGAAATATTGCATCATAGGGGTACATGCACAAACTCGTGCATCATGGGAGTATATGAAGCCTACAAAAAATGTCAATAACTTTCAATTATTTTTTTTTTTTTAATTTTTATTATTGTGAAGCGCCTCTGATCAGACTTTCTGGAATTACAGCACTATACAAGTTTTAAATGATAATAATAATAATATTATATGCGCATACTGATGCATCTTGGAAATATGGGAATATTTGCATATAGTATCACAGAATACATGTTTGTACTGAGTATACACACAATGATGCATCATGGGAGTATACAAATGTACTGATGCATCGTGGGAGTTTTTAAAGACAATACAGGGTAAAACTGCATTGTAAATATTAGCAAAATTTTGGAATACATTATGCCACAATTCAATTATTTCTGAAATTGTCTGCTGGACAGACAAACAATAAAGTCATAGAATATTATTGTATTATTACTGGGACATTCAAAGTTTTTTATTCCAGTTTGTAGAACAAATTATTATGTACATTTGTATGTCTAGTCTAGTACTGTATGCCTTTGTGAAGTTTGTAGTATTGCCTTCACAAAAAAACAGTTTTTCATCTTCTCTCATAACAATATGAACATGCCTCGCTCTAACAACTAAAATACTGGCTGATTCTATTGCATGTACCATAGTTGCTCTATTAAAAGCACATCTCCAGTATAGACTATATACACTGGGGTCAAAAATGTACAAAATTTGAACATGCTCATCCATGCATGGTACAGAAAAAAATGTCAATTATAATGATGGTTAATTTGACACCATGGGCGCTGTCTATAAAACCTCAGTGAAATTGTCACTGCATGTCTGTGCATTTCTTTATTTGGTTTATAAACTTAAAATATTGTCTCTCACAAAATGTAATGGTTTTGCAGTATTTACAAATACATAGAGTGAATATGGTAATCCAGCCAGTTTAATGACTTCTGTAAAATAACAATTAAATAAAATTTTCACTGGATTTAAATTTCACTGATTTAGCATTTCAGACATATTAAGTGGGTTTTGAATTCATGGTTTTATCATTTAGATATTGTGTTCTATGCTAAATTTTACATATTCACTGGGTTTTAATTTAGCGCATTTTCCAGTCAGGGAAATAAGCAAAATTAAAACCCAGTGAATAATTAACCCTTTTACACTACTATAGTCATACTTGAGTTATTCAAACAGTAAAACTACTTTTCATCTAGATTTAAATTTTTGAATAAATTAAACTCATTCTGAAAGCTATATAATTAAATTTCATGTAAAAGTTGTGGGCACAAAAAAACAGTGATAAAAAAACATTTGTAACATTTATTTTAGAAACATTGCTTGCAATATATGTTTTGATATTGATACTGTAAAAATATTTCATTTAATTAAAAAGTATGAAAATGATTTATACACTGTATTCTAGTTTTCTTTAAAAACAAAGTAACGTGTTTATTACCGGTATGTTGTAAGGCAACAATTGTTTGAATAGTGTCTTCCACATTCAAGCTGATGTTACTTTCCAATGTTTGATACCAAAGTCTATCAACAATGTTCCTAGGAATATTCCAATGTTGCATTGGAAACCAATAAAGGGATACTGCTCTGTTAGTAGCACATGTGCTTATGTAAGTGATGTGTCTATTTTCAAATTCCAGCATATAATGAATGCACAATCGGTATTTGGTGTAAGTGAAGATGCACTTCTAATACAGAAAATATGGTAACGGATTTCATGATCACATGTTGTCTGCACCTTAGTGAATCATCTTTCAAAATAAAATCATAGAACACTTTATTTTTTCTGCTTGATGTAACTTTATTTGTCTAACTTTAGTGACATGTATATATATACAAATATAAATCTAAAATTTAAATAAAATTATTACAATCATTTTTTTATATTAAAAACCTTAAAAATAAACCTAAGTGTTTTGTCTTCTCATGGCTTTACATGGCCTTCCTTATGCTCAACCCTGAACAAAATCATTGATTTGTATGCTGAATAATTTTATTCCGAAGCCAAACTAATTAATTGACTATTCTATTGACCCGTCACCTTGACAACCCTAGAAAATATGTTATGGAGCGATGGTATGAAAAAAAAAAAAGTTTTAACAATATTCTATTTTAATGTCGCAACAAACTGCCGTCCTCAATACCTGGTTATGTTGATGCCATTTTTTAATCTACCAATCAGACTTGCTGTCAACATCTGTCTGTAAATGTGTTAATTGTGTCTAGGTATTATAGGAGAGGTCTTGTAGGCTTTGAAACGTGCATAGAATCTAAACTACTTCAACCCTTTGAATGTCATTTTTTTCTACAATATTTTGGGGACACATTTTGCATGTTTGTTTTTTTTTTAATAATTTCTCTTCAATTTTGATCTAAATGGAGATAATTTCTCATTTTATTTTAAGGAAGGCAACCAAATTGACTAGCACTCAAAGGGTTCAAGTGGACAAACAATTTTCACACATTATATACGTTGAATAGAACCATTTATGACAATCACTTAAATTATTTTACATATTAGTCAGTAATGAACAACCTTTTAAGGACTGTATAACTTGAATAATAAAACATTATTTAATTTAAATGTACTGGTAAAATTCAAAACTATGTACAATTAACCAAATTTGAGATATGTACTTGCACTATAGTGTTGATTTTTACTTTATAATGTGAAATATGAACATCAGAATATTTTTAATCAGTTAAAAAGCCTACAATACCGGTAGTTATGCGTTTAATTTCTTGTGTTCTCTTTTACAAATGCGAAATTGCTGTCTATGCTTAGAATACTGCAATTCAGTCAAAGCATATTCACAAAGCAGAATTTGAAAAACACATAGTGACAAACAAACTGCTCTCTGATTGGTCCAACTGTTAGGTGTTAGATTTGGTAGCCAATCAAGACACAATCTTTCTAGTTTTGCATTGGCTTGAATGCTGTGAATAACGTATAGAGTAAAATTAGTGTCAGTGTGTCAATTGATCCGTTGCGCATTGCTCAAGTTCAAGTTTTGCAAGCAATTAAATTATTTTAGCTATGATTGCAATCACCTTGGTGATATTTGATTGGCTGCAATAGCATAACTTGGTCAGCTGAAATGAGTATTTGTACATTTTCAAATGAGAACTTATGAGGGCGCTATTCATCGGCTACAGTACAGTTATTCAAGACAAATGTTGAATTTGTCATCAAATGAAGACCAAATAATCGTACAATAAAATATTTAAATGTCTGAAAACTGTCCACATTTGATTATACATACATTTCAACAAATACTGAATATTAAGAAGTGATTTTAAATTTCAAAACTGTTAATTGTACGTACCATAGACCCTGGACAACCTGTTCTCTAAGGTCTATCATTGTAGTTGCTTTTTTCTCTAATCATCAATAAAGAAATACTAAAAAGGATTTCATCCTAGTTATTAACTATATCTATGATAATTAACGATGCAATTAAGAATCTAAAACAAAATATGATTATTAACCTTTGAACCCTAAATTCAAATTTTATCACCGTTCAAAAAAAAATTTAATCGAAATGTTCTTGAAACATTATGTCCATTTGATCTAAAATAAACAATGAAATAATTAAATACATAAAAAATGTGCAAAAAAAATGTTCGTGGAAAATATTTTAGGGTCCAAAAGATTAATGACTTTTAAATTTATTAACATCTAAATCTGTCTAAATTAGTGATTGGGCAAAAAAAAAAGATTGATAATTAGTCTTGAAATGATGTGATGTTGTCTTCTTCTTCTTCTTTTCTAGCAGACCCCCCCCCTCCAAAAAAATAATGTGTGCTGCACCCTAACCCATTTACTATTTTTTTAAATGTACATTTTGGTGCATCTACACATACTAAAAACATAGTATTCTTTAAAAAAAAATAGTAAAATGCATCACAATTTTTGTTACTATACCAAAAAATTGCCTTCTTACATCAGATTTGTGATTGCTATTAAAATGAATGAAAGTCAACTAAATGTCCGCAAAGTGATTATTTGCCATTAAATATGCAAATCATATTTCCTATGAGTGAGGAACAATTGCACAGACAACTACATTTGCATACATTACTACGCTCTTCTTATTTCCATGGTAATAACAATGTGACATTGATGAGTGTCGTATAGCAACACAATCATGTGACAAAAACAGTGATAAAACGATTCTGTAGTGGATCTTCAAATCTGTGGAAGAAAAGTGGATTTTGTTTAATATTTAACTCAAAAACATGTGAATCAATTCCAGCACTATAACAAAGATTATTTTAGTTGAGAATTTGTTTTTCAAAACAGAAAATTGGCTTGTTGTAAATTACAGTGTATTGATGATTATCTAGAATCTTAGTTCTGACCTCTCTACATCACATCAACTGATTGTGTTGTTGTGTTTGCAACACTGCCCTCTACGGCGAATGAATCGGTTTGTTTGGTACTCTTCGGAGCATCTAGTGATCCAATTTTAGATGTGGCATTCTCATTAAAATCAAGTTTTTTATTTTCAATCTGTAGTAAAATAATAATAAACATAGCATGCGTTTATCTGAAATAAAATACTTTAGAAGTTTTAAAAAATGCATTTGTCTGTAATTATTACATGCAAATTACTTGTAACTAAACAGCAAAGAAATTAATGATGCATAACAATAGAAATCACCACTAACAATAGGAATTACTGATTATGCATAACAATAGAAATCACCACTAACAATAGGAATTACTGGTTATGCATAACAATAGAAATCACCACTAACAATAGGAATTACTGATTATGCATAACAATAGAAATCACCACTAACAATAGGAATTACTGATTATGCATAACAATGGAAATCACCACTAACAATAGGAATTACTGATTATGCATAACAATAGAAATCACCACTAACAATAGAAATTACTGATTATGCATAACAATGGAATCACCACTAACAATAGAAATTACTGATTATGCATAAC